TGTTGACCAGGATGGTCTCAATCTCTTGACCTCGTGATCCACCTGCCTCAGCCTCCCAAAGTGCTAGGATTACAGGCATGAGCCAACGTGCCTGGCCCAAAGTCTTTCGTTTCTAAAGTCAATATACTAGAGGAAGGCAAAAATAATAATAAAAGCGACGTATTTTGTGGCAAAGTTATCTTGGGGTAAACGCTGTAGTTGCAAGCAGGTTTTCCTTGTGGCAAATGGGGAAAGAGTTAACAATAAGGGAGGCCGGGCGCGGTGGCTCACGCCTGTAATCCCAGCATTTTGGGAGGCCGAGGTGGGTGGATCACGAGGTCAAGAGATCGAGACCATACTACAAAAAATTAGCTGGGCATGGTGGCGCGTGCCTGTAATCCCAGCTACTCAGGAGGCTGAGGCAGGAGAATTGCCTGAACCTAGGAGGCGGAGGTTGCGGTGAGCCAAGATGGCGCCATTGCACTCCAGCCTGGGTAACAAGAGTGAAACTCCGTCTCAAAAAAACAAACAAACAAACAAAAAAAACAATAAGGGAGTGTGTCCTTCTGCTGTTCCTCCATTTGGCAGTCTGGAATTCAGATGTGATGGCCAGAACTCCAGCAACAATTTTGTACTATGAGGCATGTGGTGGGGGTTAGATGCATTCTAGGCTCCCTTGGGATTTTCAGGCAGAGGACACCCATAGGAGCCCTGTTTTACCTGTGTTGAACTGTTTTGTTTGTTTAATGTTGTTGTTAAATTGTAAACAAACTTCTATGTTGTTTAAGTCACTCTTATTTTATATGTAACAAAAACACTCTGAGGCTGGGCACAGTGGCTCATGCCTATAATCCCAGCACTTTGGGAGGCTGAGGCTGGTGGATCACTTGAGGTCAGGAGTTCAAGACCAGCCTCGTAATGGTCAACATGGTGAAACTCTGTCTCTAGCCGGGTGTCGGATCACCTGAGGTCAGGAGTTCGAGACCAGCCTGACCAACATGATGAAACCCCATCTCTACTGAAAATATAAAAATTAGCAGAGTGTGATGGCGCATGCCTGTAATCTCAGCTACTCAGGAGGCCAAGGCAGGAGAATCGCTTGAACCCGGGAGGCGGAGGTTGCAGTGAGCCAAGATCAATGCACTCCAGCCTGGGCAACAGAGGGAGGTCCCATCCCCCCAAAAAAATTAGTCAGGCGTGGTGGCGGGCTCCCATAATCCCAGTTACTCAGGAGGCTGAGGCAGGAGAAACGATGGAGGTTGCAGTGAGCCAAGAGCATGCCAACGCACTCCAGCTTGGCGACAGAGCGAGACACTGTCTCAAAACACAAAAACAAAAACAAACAAACAAAAAAGCCTCCTCTGCATTAAGTGCACAGAGATGTGTGTTCCAGGATGCATATTAACAGATTATAGCAAGCAAAAACTAGTGAATAAGTTTACCTCCTTTACCACCTATTCTCTGACTCTGAACCTCAGGTCCTGTCCCAACCAGGATTTGATCAAAAATCAAAACTTAGCAAAAGTAGTTGGTTAGACACTTGGGGGCAAATGTCTTGCAGAGAAATGAAAAAAAAAAAAAAAAAAAAAAAAAGGGAGAGAAAGAGGGAAAGAGCAGAGGAACAAAGAGCCCTCCATATGGAATTTGGCACCAAAAGTATAAATGTATAACTTGAGAAATGTATAACTTGAGAAATGTATAACTTGAAATAACAAAAGTTATTTCACATATCGAGACTCTAATTCATAAAGGAGTCAACACTGTAGTGACTCTCTGTATTCTGAATATTTCCCAAGATAGCCTCAGACATTCCAGGAGAAATGAACAGAAACACAGTCCCAAGGTTCAGGCCTGACTCATCCTTCCTGGTCAAGACAGCAGACAAAGGTGCAAAGCAAACCAGGATGTAGCAAAGGCGACATGATACGCCTAATAAAGAGGGCTAAGTCAATAGTTCAAGGGAGTGGGCGAATTAGCAGATGATGGTTACCTTTGCCATATGAAAAGCTATTAAACTAATGACAGTTCCTTGAGGTGCAGAGTTAAACATTTACAAACATCAGTAGCTTTCCTATGGAGGGCTGGATGGGGAGATGAGGGCAGACGGGGCAGAAGGAGCCTGACTTTCTTGCATGTTCAACAAATCCTAGGCACTGAAAGCCTAAATCCCCACTCACCACAAAGAATTCTCTGGTTGGAACCCAGGCTGCCACAGCTGTGTCACTTGAGGAATATGATTTGGCTCTGGGGGTCTGTTTCCTTGTCTGGAAACCAGCCGTGGTGGGGTTGTGTCCCCACGTGACCCATCTGCCCTATGGCCCCGGCCCACTCCCAAATTCTCTCCTTCCTCAAAATGCAGGTGTGCTTTTGGACCTGGAGGACTCGGTGAAGAACGGTCATCAATAGCAATGAAGGGGACTTCTTAGTCAAAAGGAACTACATGTGCAAAAAGGCCTCAGAGAAAAGGAGAGATTCAGAACAGGTGGAGTTTGGAATGCGTTGGGATAATTTTACAAGATGCATATTGCCGGGCGCGGTGGCTCCCAAAGTAATCTCCGAACTTTGGGAGGCTGAGGTGGACAGATCACGAGGTCAGGAGTTGGAGACCAGCCTGACCAACATGGTGAAACCCCATCTCTTCTAAAAATACAAAAAATTAGCTGGGCGTGGTGGCGGGTGCCTGTAATCCCAGCTACTCAGGAGGCCGAGGCAGGAGAATCACTTGAACCTGGGAGATGGAGGCTGTGGCGAGCCGAGATGACGTACAGTGACTGTGCAGGGCTTGTTTATTCATTTAACCAATATTTCTTGGGCACCTACTGTGTGCTCAACCATAATCCCTGCTCTCGGGAAGGTTTGGGAAGCAGTCACGAAGCAGAATAAAAAACAGAAATATAGAACAAGTCAGGCGGCGGCAAGGACTCCTGAGGAAAGCAAGGCTCCTGAGCGGGGAATGTGCAGTTGTCAAGGAGAGGGCGTGAAGGGAGTGTGGGAGTCAGCTGTCTGGGGAAAGAGCATCTAGGGGAGGCAACAGCAAGTGAAAAGGCCCTGGGGCGTGGCCACACCTGCTCTGTCCCAGAAGTGGATTTTGCTGTTCAAAGGACAGCTAGGTGCCGGGCGTGGCGGCTCACATCTATAATCCCAACACTTTGGGAGGCTGAGGCGGGCAGATCATGAGGTCAAGGGATCGAGACCAACCTGGCCAACATGGTGAAACCCCATCTCTACTAAAAATACAAAACTTAGCCAGGTGTGGTGGTGGGCGCCTGTAGTCCCAGCTACTTGGGAGGCTGAGCCAGGAGAATTGCTTGAACCCGGGAGGCGGAGGTTGCAGTGAGCCGAGATTGCACTGGTGACAGAGGGAGACTCCCTCTCCCAGCCTGGTGACAGAGGGAGACTCCCTCTCAAAAAAAAAAATAAAAAAGACAGAAGGTCAGCATGGCTGCAGACTGTGGAAGTGGGTGGGGGGAGTCAGGGCAGGTCCCCTAGGGCCCTGTGGGTGGGAGCTTGGGGGTTTTCTCTAGAGTCAAAAGCTCTGTGAGTAGGCAGAGGAGACCAGCTCGAACCTAGTTTTTAACAGGATGGTGCTGGCTGTTGTGAGGTGAAACACGAGGTGCCAGGAGGAAGCAGGAGGAAAGCCCTTTTACATTTAGGGTGCTGTAGCAAAAGGGCCAACAGTCACCACAACAGCAGCGACAACCACAGCCGCCACGCATCTACTGCTCATTGTGCCAGACCCTGTGCGAAGCTCTTTGCACACATTACCTATCAAATCCGCCACAATCCTGAGGCTGGCATTCCAATCAGCTCCATTTTACAGATGAGGAAACTGAGCTTTAGAAAGGGAAATAAATTTGTCTGGGGCCATACAGCTGGGAGCTGAGCTTTACATCCGGGCATGCTTGACTGTGAACCCAGCCCTCTTAGGCAGCCTGAGAAAGGCCTCGGGGTGGAGGGGTCCTGAAGAGGCCATTGGGGCCAAGCTGAGCAGGATTCCACTCACTGGTGGCCTCCCGAGATGTGGGCCTGAGAAAGAGAGAAATGGAGCAAAGGCTCAGGAGAAGCTGAGAGAGGCTTCAAGACATCTGCTTCCCAAGGATCCAGGTCCCCTTCTGTGATCACCAGAGACCAGAAACCTAAGGCTTCATATGAGACAGTTCAGATGCCCTATATGGGTGTGCGACAGATAGAGAAGCTAGAAGGATCAGTTTCAGGCAAAGATTTCTTTTCTTGAGACAGAGTTTCACTCTTGTTGCCCAGACTGGAGTGCAATGGTGCGATCTTGGCTCACTGAAATGTCTGCCTCCTGGATTCAAGTGATGCTCCTGCCTGAGCCTCCTGAGTAGCTGGAATCACAGGCATGAGCCACCACGCCTGGCTAATTTTGTATTTTTAGTAGAGATGAGGTTTCTTCATGTTGGTCAGGCTGGTCTCGAACTCCCAACCTCAGGTGATCCGCCCGCCTTGGCCTTCCAAAGTGCTGGGATTACAGGCACGAGCCACTGCGCCCAGCCAGTTCCAGGCAAAGGATTCTCTTTTGCATTCTTGCATCAAAAGCTGTGAGCCCCAGCACAAGAGAGTGAAGGGAGTTGGGAGTGGGTTTCCGTCCAGGGCCAGTGCCCCCTCATGTATGGGCTGGGCCATCTCCTCCAGGGAGCACAGGCAGCTTCCACCCCGCACGCCATCCCCTGACCCCTCCACGTTCTCCTGCCCTCTGCTTTCCTTCATCAAAGTATTACTGACACCAGCTCAGTTATGGGAGTTTATCTGTGTCTTTCTGTTGAGCACTAGTCTCTCCCATGGGAGTGTAATCTCCATGTGAGTGGGGCCTTGCCCTCTCCCCCAGTGCCCAGGTGACCATCTGGCTTGCTATGGGCTGGGCCCCCTGAGCCCCTGGCACCATGGCTGGTTTCTCACTCTGTAGGGACAAGCGGCCAGCCGGTAGGCACCTAGTCTTGTGGGCCAGGCTGGAGGAAACCTGCCTCAGCTCTGAAGGTCATGTTGGCCAGGGTGACCCTCAGGGCAGTGCCAGGTGGCAGCATGACACTGGGCACATCTCACTCCTGGGCAAGGGTCTGAGCCAATGCTTTTCTGGGTTCCAGGCTCCTGGAGAACTTAGTGACTCCTGCAGACGTCTACCTAGGGCCTGGCCCTGGCCTCACCCTCATGAGAGTGGGCAGGAATGGATCGGCTTTGAGTCCATGGAGAATGGAGGCCGGGTGGTCAAAACCACAAAACCCACAGGGAGAGATGGGGGGATGAAGGGGAGGGAGAGAGAAGAGACTGAGACAAAGAGACAGAAAGAATCAAAAGTTAGAAGCAGAAATGGGGAGAAAAGACGACAGAGGCACAGAAACAAGGAAAAATGGGAAGCTGCAGTGGAGAGGGAGGCAAGGAGGTGCCGGGAGGCAGGAGGCTGGGGTGCTGGGAGCCTGGGCGAAGCTCAGCCACCCTCACTGCTCATAGCCACATGTAGTAGGAGGCCATCTCTACCTCTCCTTGCTGGGACCTCAGAGCTCCCCTAGAACTCATCCCAACTCAATGTCCCTGCTGGATAGGTGGGGAAAACAACGCCAGGAAGGAGATAGCGCTTCCCGGAGCCCTGCCCCACCCCTGAGCTCAGGCTGGGGCAGGCATCCAGACTGTGCTCACTGGCTGTGCAACCTCAGGTCAGCTGCTCACCTTCTCTGGGCCTTGATTTCTTTATCTGTGAAAGGGTCTGCGAATGCCCAGCCTTTCTGGGCTCAGCCAACCAGTAAAATGGGAACGAGATAACAGGCACTCAGACTGGCCTTCAGAAGCGGAATGTGAGTTCTCTTCCCCACTTCTCCTCCGTCCCAGGGCCAGGAAGGGCTTCAGGCCTCCCACGGGGCTGACCTTGGTGGAGCAGCCTCCCCTGGGCCAGTTCCCCTCTCCTCCACATCCATCCCAACTCCCACCCTCTTTCCCAGGCTCCTGCATCTTCAGCCTGGTCAAGCTGTTCTGATATAGCATGGAGATGGAGCTGGGCGGAGTCAATGGGGACCACTCTTTGTTCTTTATTATTACCATCTTTTTTTGAGACAGGATCTTGTTCTGCCACCCAAGCTGAGGTGCCGTGGCGCAATCTGAGCTCACTGCAACCTCAACCTCCCTGGCTCAAGTCATCCTCTCACCTCAGCCTTCTGAGTAGCTGGGACTACTAACCCACACCACCACGTCTGGCCTGGGTAATTTTTGTATTTTTTCTTCGGATGGGGTTTCGCCATGTTGCCCAGGCTGGTCTTGAACTCCTGAGCTCAAGCAATTCACCTGCCTCAGCCTCCCAAAGTGCTGGGATTACAGGCGTGAGCCACAGCACCCAGCCTTTTGGTCTGGAGGCACCAGGGCTCTGGAATTCACGCTCAGCCTGTCCCGACTCCAACCTGCCAGCTCAGGAGGAAACCTTTCTTTCCTCCTATCTCTCTGGTCTCTCCTGACACGGCAGCCTGAAACTAGGGGAAAGGCCACGTGACACCTGCTGGCTCCAGACAAGTGCGCCTGCCACAACCCGGTCAGTGCCCTGTGTTCCCGGCCAGCAGCTGGCCTTGGTAGCTGCCCCCACCCTCTCACAGGCCTGAGCCGCCCGGCTCTGCTCACTTACCTGCTGGTCCAGTTCCCGTGGACGCTCTGCATGGGAGGGGCCAGAGGCAGCTCAGTTTGTATAAGCCTGTCCCCGCCCAGAGGTTGGGGAAAGGCAGGTGGAGGGTGGGTGAGGCTCCCTGCAAGACAAAGAGCCTACTGTGTATCTGTAATCTACCCTGCAGCCCAGCTAGGAAGAGAATCCTGAGGGTAGAACCGTGCAATAAAGGGCTTGCTTTATTAAGTGCCTTTGGCATCCAGGTTTCATGAGGGTTGATCCCTAGTTGACAAAAGATATGTGCAAACAGTTGGTTCTATTCCTTAAACTTCGTTCATCTGATCCTTCTTTGAGTCTCATATTTTGTGGGATTTCCACTCATAGATATGTAATTAAATATTGCAGGACCCTCTACACTTATGATGCCAAGGAGACGTTAACCCCGCAGAGTTAGTTATGTGGATCACAGCATGGTCATTTTCTTCTTCTTTTTTTTTTTTTTTTGAGATGGAATCTGGATCTGTTTCCCAGGCTGGAGTGGAGTGGCCAGGCTGGTCTTGAATGCGTGACCTCAGGTGAACTGCCCACCTTGGTCTCCCAAAGTGCTGGGATTACAGGTGTGAGCCACTGCGCCTGGCCACAATTTCATAATTATCTCTGCCAAATACTATAAGGTGCCAAAATTTGGCATAGAGAATACAAAACATAAATTTAGAGGATCCTGCAATTCTATTTTATTTTTTCACAGACCCAAAGTATTTGGTACAGTAGGGATGGGAAACATGGCTTCCTTCCACCTTTCGTGGCCCAAACAGAATCATCTTTGCTTGTATAACTTTTTAATAATGAAACATCAATATTGGTTTAATAAAGATAGCTACATCGTGAACTATTTAGTGAAATACTCTAATCTCTAATCTTGTGGTCTTAGGCAGTCTGGTCCGCAGGCATCAAGGAAGTTTTTTTTTTTCTTTGAGACAGGGTCTCACTCTGTTGCCCAGGCTGGAGTACAGTCGCCCGATCTCGGCTCACTGCAACCTCTGCCTCCTGGGTTCAAGCGATTCTCCTGCCTCAGCCTCCCGAGTAGCTGGGACTACAGGCACACACCACTGTGCCTGGCCAGTTTTGGTATTGTTAGTAGAAACGAGGTTTCACTATGTTGGCCAGCCTGGTTTCAAACTCCTGACTTTGTGATCTGCCTGCCTCGGCCTCCCAAAGTGCTGAGATTACAGGCGTGAGCCACCACACCTGGAAGTTTGTTTTTATCAAGGAAAGGTGTATCATCTTTGATATTAAAGAAAAGAGAATTTATATAAAAAAAGAATCTTATAGGAGGGACACAGTGGCTTACACCTGTAATACCAGCACTTTGGGAGGTCAAGGAGGGCAGATCACGAGGTCAGGAGTTTGAGACCAACCTGGTCAATACAATATGGTGAAACCCTGTCTCTACTAAAAATACAAAAATTATCCAGGCATGGTGGTGCGCATCTGTAATCTCAGCTACTCTGGAGGCTGAGGCAGAAGAATCACTTGAACCTGGGAGGTGGAGGTTGCAGTGAGCCGAGATTGTGCCACTGCACTCCAGCCTGGGCTACAGAGTAAGACTCCGTCTCAAAAAAACAAAAACAAAAAACTTATATGGTAAATTCTTGTCCTAAAGTAAATTAGCTGGTTGTTTTAAAAGAGGTTGTTTTAAATTTCTGTTTACAAATCAGAAAGTTGAGGCATGTCAGAGATTGTGTAAATCGTGAAAATTTTATAAAAGGGAATTTATATGCAAGAAATGTTGTACAATTTAAAAGTGATTAGGCGGCCCGGCGTGGTGGCTCATGCCTGTAATCCTAGCACTTTGAGAGGCCAAGGCGGGTAGATCACCTGAGATCAGGAGTTCAAGACCAGCCTGGCCATATGGTGAAACCCCGTCTCTACTGAAAATATAAAAAATTAGCTGGGTGTGGTGGCAGGTGCCTGTAATCCCAGCTACTTTGGAGGCTGAGGCAGGAGAATCGCTTGAACCGGGGAGGCAGAGGTTGCAGTGAGCCGAGATAGTGCCATTGCACTCCAGCCTGGGCGACAGAGCAAGACTCTGTCTCAAAAAAAAAAAAAGTGACTAGGCCTCCTGAATGTTTTATAAAATGCCACTATAACTCTTAGCTGTACAACTTGTCTGCTTTGCAGCTAGGTAAGACCTAGGACACGTGGAGTTAAATGCTGGAATCAGTCAGACCTTATCCGCACTTCTTCTAGGTCCTAGGCTCTACCTCTAGTACATAATTCTCAAAGTTACTAACAAAAGTAAAAGTTGCTAAAAGTTAACAGTGTAACATGTATTGTTCCGTAGAAAGAATTTAAGATAAGATGTTGTAAAACTGAACCTAGCCTTGGAATTGTTCCTCTTGAGGTTACAAGATAACTTGGGGTTCCCAGCCTGCCAGAAAGCGACATTCTTTACTTACCACAGATCAGAAACCCTGTACAGGGACTGTGTACAGAAAATATGAGGCCAGGTTCCAAGGGCTTTCTTGGCTTCGTAAGTCAAGTTTGATTCCTTAAAGGAAAGCACACTATTCCAGTCAAGGCCATGGTAAAATAACCAGTTTTCCCAACCGTGTCCTGTTACAAAAGAAAACAGATTCTTATTGCACTTATGCAAATAACTGTATTTCCAATAGCTTTCAAATTTTAGTAAAAATCAGGGAAAGAGAAATAGTATGCTCCAAATTTTGTTCCTGGGAGTACACTAAATTGTTAAAACCTATCGATAGCTCAATAGAAAACTTTCTTTGACTTTGAAAAGCAAAACAAAGGATTAGCAATATTTTGAGCAAAATGTCAAGAAGATCACTCGAGCCTCCTGTTAGTTCAGTTCATGCAGTTAATTCCTGTCCTGCGCGATATTAATGGACATTTTTTTTTGGAGACAGAGTCTTGCTGTGTTGCCAGTCACCAGGTTGGAGTGCAGTGGTGCAATCTCGGCTCACTGCAACCTCCGCCTCCCAGGTTCAAGTAATTCTCCTGCCTCAACCTCCCGAGTAGCTGGGACTATAGGCATTCGCCACCATACCCAGCTAATTTTTGTATTTTAGTAGAGACAGGGTTTCACCATGTTGGCCAGGATGGTCTCAATCTCTTGACCTCATGTTCTGCCCACCTCGGCCTCCCAAAGTGCTGGGATTACAGGCATGAGCCACCGCGCCTGGCCATTAATGGACATTTTAACTCTTCAAGAGTCCTGAATGTATTTCCTCTATTCTGATGTCACGATCTCCAAAGTCATCAGAAACCCATATTCAAGAGCACCTGGTAGAGCTTTATAGCTGATTATAAAACCACTTTCTGAAGAGGACCAAAACAAGACAACAATTGTTTATGGATGACAAAAAGTTTTAGGATAGCCATAGTTAAAAACGCAATTGACAAGAAAATCTGTTACCTCTGTGGCACACAATAATTTTAACAGAACAATTATAATTAGTACGGATAATGTACACTAAGGTATATCAGAATTACAGGAGTCTCCCATAACTTTGGAACACGTACCAATAACATATTTATACAAACATAGCCCAAAGGAAAGCCAAACACCATTTTATGAAAATGCTTCCTATATGATTTTATACCAAATAAGCCAAATTTTACCTTTATATTAGTGTGTTATTAATGTTAAACTCAATTTTTAATAAAAACCTTGTAGACACATTTACCTAAATTTAATGTTTGACCATAAGGTGAGATTCTTATAGACCTTTTTTTAACCCTTTATAGTTTTTGCTAAAGAGCAGGTTAGTGTTTTAAGAAAAACACATTGTGCTTTGATTTTAATGCTCAATTTACAGAAAAACTGAATGATACACCTTTAAATTTAGCCAATAGGTTTACACACAGAATCTCCTTTATAATTAAGCTTCCCAAACTTGCTTAAACTTTCATTTTTATTTTATTCAACTTAAAACAATTCTTTAATCTTTTAATCTAGGTAAAATTCCACATTCTGTCGCCTCCTTATAATCTTTTAACCAAAAGTATATGTAAACTGTTTTTTCAATAGTCTTGAATACATGTTACACTGTTACCTTTTTTTTTGTTTCTTTTTTTGGGACAGAGTCTCGCTCTGTTGCCCAGGTTGGAGTGCAGTGGCGTGATCTAGGCTCACTGCAACCTCCGCCTCCTGGGTTCAAGCGATTCTTATGACTCAGCCTCTTGAGTAGCTGGGATTACAGGCATGTGCCACCACGCCAGGCTAATTTTTGTATTTTTAGTAGAGACGGGGGTTCATCGTGTTGGCTGGGCTGGCCTCGAACTCCTGACTTCAGTTGATCTACCTGCCTTGACCTCCCAAAGTGCTGGGATTACAGGCGTGAACGCCCGGTCTAACTTTTTTTTTTTTTTTAAAGGCCTATGTAACAAATAATTATTCTTGGTGTGGTGGCTCACGCCTGTACTCCCAACACTTTGGGAGGTCAAGGCGGGTGGATCAACTGGTCAGGAGTTGGAAACCAGCTTGCCCAACTTGGCAAACCCCTGTCTCTACTAAAAATACAAAATTAGCTGGGTGTGGGGGCAGGTGCTTGTAATCCCAGCTACTTAGGAGGCTGAGGCAGGAGAATTGCTTGAACCCTGCAGGAGGAGGTTGCAGTGAGCCGAGATCATGCCATTGCACTTCAATCTGGACAACAAGAGCAAAACTCTGTCTCAAAAAAACAAAACACAAATAATTATTCTTGCTGCACTGTATGCAAATAATTAAGCCAAGTACATTAAACCAAACCAGTCCTATCATGACTTGTCTTTTAATAAAAATGGGAACCTGGAGAGAGAAAATGATGCCTCAAAAATGATAGCACACCTGTTGTTAAATTCTAGTGTTGCCTAACATTTTTCAATTTTTATTATTTTCTACAGTTTAAATTCTAATTTTTCTGACTTCAAATTTACAAAATAAGCTATGCTTTCTTAAATCCCTATGAACTGAAAACTAGATGTTTCAGCAGGTGCTGCCTCTAAGCACCCCCTTGACCATCGCAGGAAGAAATCTCTTCACTGCTGGTGCTGACAACTAACAACTGAGGGTGCCCAGAATCCTTC